TCTGGGCAACCTGTTCCAGTGTTCAAACAAGTACATATTTATTAGAGTTATTAATATATTAATACATATTTAACATAACAATATTGTTGCATAGTTTTGAAGTAATCAGAGAGTGTCCTATCACTTCACTAGCAAGATTGCAATCCAGTGCTGAATTGTTTGATTCTCCCTAACTGAATGTGAGACCAAAACCAGTACTTTAAACTTTACTAGTAATGTTTGAAGAATTTAATCTTGCAACAAGTTGTACCTGTTTGTAATGCTAACAAGCTATGATGCATTTCTTCACGTGTTACATGTTATCTGGGGTATCAGACACCCGAGTTCCAGCTGACTTCAGCATGAGCTGTCCCATGAGCTTGACTGTGAATATTTCTTCTATAAAAGGAATATATCTAATTATTTTTGTTTACCTTCAAAGCCTCCCCGCTGAACAAGCTGAAACTAATACATTCCAACTTAGAAGACGATCCTGAAGATGTTCGGATGGAATTTATGAAATACTTCCGAAGCATTATCACCTTAATAAATGAGAGCAGAGAGCAGGAAGAAATGTCAATTATCTCATAACATTAACACATACTGAGCAGGGAAGAAGAAGGGTTATTTTCACTTTGTAAGCTATACTAGCCTGCAAACAGGTCCTCACAACAAGAATTTGCCAGCCAATAAACACTTCAGAGAAAATAATGCACAGTTTATGACTTAGCCAGAAAACAACAAGCGCTGACATCAGATGAACTGTGGTGCCAAAGAGATGGCTGCATATCAAGGAATTTGGGTAACTTCAGCTGCACTTTGGTTTCATTTGGCATCAGAGGTACGGGAAGGTATTGTTTAATATGTTAGTGTGGACCAAAAGATAAAGGTATCGGTCATCCTTTCACTTCAGAATCCCTTTTTGTAGAGTGCTAAGAGAAGAAAGCCTGACAGAACTAAGATTTGTGGAGTTCTGCTGAAGCATCCGAGTAAAGTGCTCATGCTAGCTGTCTTCCTGGAGAAGTTATGCTTTTGGAAGTCAGTACAAACTGATTGGAAGCGAGATCTGAGAAGTAGTTGGGGTATGGAATTCACATTTTAATGTTCCAAGTTCTCCTTATCTTTCTCTCCAGCATCTGAAAAGAGCACATCTCATAGCTATTGCCTTGGCAAGACAGAGTAGCCTGCAGTCTTTCTCAGGACTAGGTTTTGCTTCTATTCCAGCAAAACAAATGTGTTGTTGGGGACAATGTTTAGGTCTCTGGGAGGAAAAGAATTGAAATCTCAGTACAATGCAATACTGTGACCTATGTCAGGAGCTCTAGTAGAGGAAAAAGAAGTTCTGCATTCTCCAGAGGAGGAAAAGCTATTTCTATCCTTGTATCACTGTTCCCTGCCGCATTGGAATTAGTGGTTTCATAGATAATTTATTTTCTGATTTGTTCGGTTTGCACTCATCCCTGTTCTTAGTGTGTTTTGCAGTGGCAGACTTTTTTTGTAACATGCAGCACTAAAGCAATAAAAACATTCAAAAAATGCATCCCTTTTGTTCTCAAAGGAAAAGTTAACTATGGTTTTGTGGAACTCTTATTGACTTATTTTTTAGTAAGGAAAACTGATACATTTGTGGTAGATTTCACACTAATGAGCTCCAACAAGAGTCGTTTACAAAAACTTGTCACTGAACCAAACAGCCCAAGAAATGCCAAATGAACCAGAAGCGGGTATCCATACCCGCTTCTCTGGTTGCCCAGAGATGTTGTGGATGCCCCATCCCTGGATGTCTTCAAGGCCAGGCTGGATGTGGCTTTGAGCAACCTGGTCTAGTGGAAGGTGTCCCTGCCCATGGCAGGGGGGTTGGAACTAGATGATCTTTAAGGTCCCTTCCAACCCTAACCATTCTATGATTCTATGATTCTATTCTATACTGACACACACTCCTTTTTTTCAGAAGATAATTTAAAGGAGAGAGGGACTGGGAGTAGGAACTGCAGAAATCCTTGAGAAGCGTCCTGCTTCACGTGGTACTGCACTCACCTTGGGAAGTGTGAGATGGATAGCTTGTCGCAGCTGTCTGACCCACAGCACTGTATTTTACAGGTTTGGTTTCATTGCAGAGTCATGCCATGCAGCCGTATTTGAGCTGCAGCTTTTTACGAGTGTATTTGTTCCAACAGCCTTGTCCTCTCCACAACATTGTCATTCAGTAAACATCCCTTACAGACAGTATCTTATAAACCAGGAAGTACTTGATCTGTTTTAGTTCAGGACCACAGGAATGAGATCTTCTTGGGTCTTGCAGTCATCTAGGTTACCTAGTCTACTATTTTTCCTATTTTTGTGGTTTGGGCTTTTCTGAGTAATGAGTAGCCTGTCCTTGAACAGCTAATATGTTTTCCAAGAAAAGATGCCTTGAAAATCTGCTCAAGTGTTTACACATCTTTCTCCTGGCCTTCAAACAGTGTGCAGTCAGGGCTTTCTCTGGGGGTTCCTCTGGGAAGCCTCAGCAAGAGCAGAGAGCGATCAGGGCGTGATGCACTGTCTCAGGCTGCGGTTAACAGCAGTGCAGGTCTTGTTCTGGCCTCCTCAAAAGGCCCACAGGTCTCCAGGCAAAACATTGGCACTCCCTTTCAGCAGGATTCATTGCAGTGGCGTAGCAGTGATGGGAGGTAGCAGCTCTACGTTGCTCTTGTTGTTGCTTTCAGGCAGGAGAAGGTTTTTCAGTTCTTTGCGTACACTGCTGGAAGCAGTTCTACATCATCGTGCCCAAAACCAGCACATTGCTAGAGTCTGAAAGCCACTTCATCCCAGTTGTGTTTTGCACTTCCCCAGCTATTTTTCTCTTTGATTATTAAGCCCCATTTATTGAAAACAAAGGCATGTGAGGTGAAAGATTAAAGATCTTAGAACATTACCCAGTTGTAAAACTAATGTAAAACTGCAAGTAACACAACAAAACACACCTAGGGCCCTACTTCAGAGAGTTACTATTGCAGTGCTACACCGGTTTGCTCAGGTTGGTACCAGGCGTGTGGCATGTGCAGTGTGCACTTGCAGATTACCTGCACTGTTCCTGGGTGCTTGGTGTGCTCACAGAGTTTGCTGCCTCAGCTTCTTTTCATTGTTTGCTGGCTCCTATCGCCATTAAAGCTGAAAGCTCCCCTCGGTCCTGAGAGTAAAAGAAGGGGGATACTGAAAGAAAATATCAGTGAGAGGAAGAACACCAGGAAAGTAAAAGCAAAATAAGCAGTAAGAGATAAAAAGGTTGGAGGCGAAGAGTGGGAGGTTGGCATTTCAACATCTACCATTTCATTTATATGACTTTTGAAACAATCAGGCTTTATATGTTCGCAATCACTGTCAGAGGGTGGTCCATTGGAGCCAGTTATTGGAAAATTCATAGTCTAACTAGAGAACAAGTTTTTTACATGCTGCCTTAGATAATTTTTTCCTTGTTGCCAGCTGTGTGGTGCTGGAGCCAATTTTTAAAATATACTGCCTTAATAAATTCATTTTTTCCCAACAGCAACATTGTGATATGCACTGGTAAAGACTGGTATGAAACCCACCAGATATTTTATTTGGAATGTAAACCAGTGTTTCGGTGATTCCAGGGCTGAAAAGTCAATGAACAGTCCTATTCACCACCTTGCTTCATATAAAACCCTAATCATGATCTGACTTTAAACTCAAAAAAAGGATGTAAATTACTGGTATCGATATTGTACAACACATTGTTCATTAGAGAAGAAAAATACTGGTAGACAGAACCAAAGACAGATCCCTAGACTTGACTTTATATCATCCAGAAAGGCCACAATATGTAATATATGTAGAATATCATACATAAAATCTGGCCAAGAGATTAATCTCTGGGACTGCTGAAGAGTAAATGCACAGACCCATGCAAAATAAATCCTTAGTACTGGAGAAGATACAGAGAAAAGTATTGATTTGGAAGTATCATTTATTAATGATTTATGAAACAGGTCAACAGAGTAGCCCGGTTAGAAGAGGGGTACGAGAATACCAGATTAACATCTGTTATGTCTCCACCTCTGCCCTTTGCAGCCTGCCTGTCCTGAGCCATCAGTAAGCGCAGTGCTGCAAACAGTGCCACATCACGGTGTCACCCAGACTGGGGATGCGCAGCCCTAGTTGTTCGCTCGAAGCGCTGTGGTCAGTAAGTGACTGTTCTACGGCTCTGTCCATACTTCTGCTTGTGAGAGCCAAGAATTGCCCAGACAAATGTAAAGGAAACCAGGAACATGAGGTAATCAGCCACAAGTTACCCGGAAGTCAGCTGGCCAGCCACAGGTTTAACTAGGAGTAGCAACAGTTCAGGAGCAGAAGATAACAGCAAATTTGCAGCAAAACACTCCATTTTACTCTTCCACACTGAGCACCTTACCACCATGCTTGGAAGTTTGGAAAGGCTTTTTGGATGACCTTTCCAGGAAGTGGAAGGGAATGCAGAGAACCAGTGAAGTCTGTCAATTCCTCCAAACAAATGCAGCCTTCTGTAGGTGTCCTCAAACCTCTAGAGTGAGCAGTCCATGTCCCCTTCTCACTCTGCCAGCAGCTATGTACCCCCAGGCGCCTGCTTCGTATGAACTGTGGACACGTCGGAAGTGTCCGAGTTCCCTGTCCCTTTCTGTGGTTCCTTCTCCACACTGGAATTCAGTGGCTATGTACTCCAGGGGCTTATCTGTGATCACCTGCATTGTCATGGTTTGGAGAACCAAGGCTGCAATCAGGGACACTGAACATTTGAAATATTAATTAATTCAAATATATTCAGCCTCCACAGTGCAGAATCCAAAGACTCCAGGACACACCAACTGTGCAATGAGAAAACAACCAGAAGCTATTCAGGTGCAACACTGCTTGGTCACTTGGCACCGAGTACTGATAATCCTGACAGCTACATCACTGTATGTACAATGTACAGAAGTTATCTTAAAAGTTTTAGTGCTGTATAGCTACCAAAAAGTTTATAGCTATGCGTGAGCTCTGCTCAAGTTTGCACTCATCTCCCCCAGAAGTAGTTGGTACATCATTGCTTTGGACAGCTGACCTAACTGGACAAACTGGAAATTTGATAGAGCTCAGAAGCAGAACTCCGCAGGGCTAGAAATGCAGGATTTTAAGACGGTCATATATAGGAAGTTAACGGCTGTGGCTGTATGCAGACTGGTGATTTAAGACATTTAAGCTCTTCAATTATAAACCAGAGTTTGTTCAGGTTACCTCTTACAAGCTGTTTTCTGCACACGCAGAACATTATGAAGCCAATAACTACTTGTGATGATGAAAACGGTTACAGGCACTGCAATCCAGATGTGTGGCTTCCAGGGTAAAAATCATACTTGTTTACAACCAAACATTGGGAGTAGCAGCAAAGCTGAATGAAATACATTTGGACCTTACCAAAAAAATGCAGCTTTCCTTTCAAGTCATATATTTTGAAGGCCAGGCCTTTGGTCTCAGTTGCTCTCAGCAGTATTGTTCTAATGGACACAATAGACATAAGAAACCCTGTGTTCCTATTTCTATTCTTGAACTGCCAAGTGACTACGAGGAAGTCACGT